TAGAAGACGTACGTGAGGGAGCAGCCACCGTATTCGCGCAGTTTCCGAATACGGGACGTGCTTACGTCAGGTAACCCTGCACCTTCTGCTGCAGCTCATCCCTCACCGGGTCGCAGCCCTGTCAACCAGTCGGTGACGTGTAGCGCTGAGACTTGAGGTCCTACAGAGGCCTCCACTCTTACAAAGTGCAACGAGGAGGTGAGCAATTGCAGCAGAACACCGTTCGTTGAGCAATCAACATATACGGTTCCGGTCTCTTTTCGGAGTCATTCGAAAGACCGAAGCGGAGTGCGGAAAGCCTCCGAAATATACAGTCCACTTAGCACGCTGCTGAGTTGAGTCAGCGTGCGGCTCGAACATTACCGTGAGCCCATATTTATTTCTTTGTCTTTTCGCAGCGATCGTGATATTCGGCGCCCAGACCGAAGCAGCAGGCGCCGTCGATAGGCTGCAGGAAAACCGGAGGACTCGAGGACGGCCCGCCGGACGCTATTAATTCCCGGCTACCCCGGACGAATAGAGATCCTCCAGTAAAGAGACAGATTAAATAAACCAGGTTTCATTTTTCGTTAAATTGCTGATTCTAATTATTTGAACACCCGTTCTCCCGGCCGAACCCCGTTAGGGCCGCCTATCCCTAACAAAAGTGGTGTAATTCTCTTCTCACTGTGCCGTGCGGGCCGTGTATACGTGTACAGGCAGTATCTAAACGTACTGTCCTGCTGACGTCATAAGTCATCGACCCGCAGTGTTAAACAGTTCGAATCAGGAGCATTTTGATGATAGAGGTGCGACAGAGAGAGTTGTTGTCTTTGCGTTTGCTCCGAAGACAATAATAATATCCTCGTCACCTCTGCCCAGCGGTTTGATTTTAAGGTGTTAAAAAGTTGCTTACCACCACTCCCGCAATCAGGGCTACCGATGTTCCAGAAGATTCGAAGGTGAAGGAGTATATAACTACCTTCCTTCGCGCGCCTCGCGAGTTTACGGGACAACGCGAAATGGAGCAACAGACGCAATTCCAGGAAACGTTCGACAGTGTTGTGGATAGTTTAGCCAGAATGAGTGGCCAAGATCCCGTGTTAGACGTGACTCCCGTGGCCTCGACAAGTGCAGTGGCACCGGCTGCAGTAGCCGATGCACCAGGAGGAGCTATTGCGCTGGTCAGAAGAGCGGCCGAGCAGCGTGCGGTGATACCGGGATGGGAACCGCTGCGGATTCCCGGCCAGATGCCGAGATCTCGACGGTACCGGTGCAGCGTAGACGGAGGACGGTGGATTTTGAGATGGGACATATCAGGGCGGCTGGTTTCGCTCAATTTTAAGGAGCGTATAGCTCCTCCCGTTACGAGAGCGACCAGCCCAGCCAGGCCATCGAGACCGCGTCCTTCGGGCTCGACGGTCGCCTCCGCAGCGGGAGACTTCCAGGCCAGTGAGGACGACCCAGAGGACGTCGAGGAGGTCTACGGCTCCTCCGCCTGGCCCAAGGACACCAGTCAGGGTGGAACCGGCTGCACCGAGTGCCAGGCCGGCAAGGAGATCCCATGGCCTGCGTCGACGATCCACAGATAGTCGAGCAACGAGGGACCGTCGACGAGACCGAGACGACCGAGAGGATCGAGAGCTGGGTCGGTCTATAGTAAGGGCGATCATCCGCTTCACCGACGTGTAAGTCTTGCATCTTTATTTCTAAATTGTATTCCGTCATAATTTTCCGCTCTGCACGCGACGCGATAGAGATTTCGGGTTGCGCGGATCGCGCAAGGGGGGCGGTGTGTTTAAAAAGGGAATAAATTAATTTCCTAATCGCCTCTCCGATTTAATTTTAATCGTTCGAAATAGTAATAGAACGGAACTGTATTGATGTTCCGTGAAAGTCATCGCGATTATATAAAAACATCGATACACGAGCTGAGTTTCTTGCCGGCTCGGTCGTTTTAACGGTCGCGATGTTTAGATTCCGCGGCCGGAAAAAGTTCAAATTGGGCAGAGCGCGACGGAGTACGTTGACACGCGCGTGACGTGTCACCTGAGCGCGAGCGAGACAGAGATACCTCGCGCTTCCCACCTCGCGACGACCGAGGTGAAGGACGATTCCGAAAAGACGATCATTCCTTTGTTGGATATTCCGCGAGTAACTTTCCGAACTGATAGCTTCCGCATCGCGATCTCCCGAGTTGAGGGTTCATAGTGCCGAATAATCAGTGATCGTAGGTTTCTCGCATCGGAGTTCATATCGGATCGACG